TTGAATGTGAATATCTATTTCTATAACGGCGAGGTGATCTGGATCTACTGTGACTTCTATATCTGCGCCTACTAACAAAACAATATTAATTAGTACTAAAAGTATTAAATTTTTAAAGTTTGCCACTGAAACATTTGATAATATGAAATGCTAATTTCATAAGCATCAAGTAACTATGTCATTTTAAAATTTGAAACATCAGTTCTAATCTAATTAATAAGTGAGATCACTACTATTAAAATACATTTTGCATTCCGACACAGAATTACTACAATTCCTTCCCCTGATATATATAATAATAGCAGTGCTATTTAAAAATTGCTATCTCAAATATTTCAGAAAAAAATATAACAATTAGTAATACCTTTCATTGGGTTCACGTTCACGATATGAGTTCTTACGCTGCCTTTCTGGACTTGGACTCCTGTAACAAAAAATGTTATTTTTAAGTAAAAATTTAAGTTTCTAAAAATTAATCTACTATTGAAACATAACAAAAGCAATATGCAAATCTTGATCACAACAAACGAAATGTATTTTACAAATTTAGTAAGAAATTGTTAAAAAATAACATTATAGCATTATTTCATCTGTAACTACAAGTGATACAACAAAAGCAAATTAATGATATGCTTGATTTTATTAAGAATGACTTTAATCAAGCCTCTAGGTAATATAATTGGCAAGCACTGGTTAGATTATAAGTCATTTAGTGTGCCATCAGACAAAATGATAACAGATGATATATTGATTATGAAATTAAAACAAACCTTGAATAGCTCTTTTTCATAGATTTCATGGCAGGAGCAGAAGGTGAACGACTACGGGATTCTCCCATCATACGCCTACGAGAAGGTGATGTGCCATGATCTATTTTCATATCCGTACTGCGCTCACGCGTGAGGCTTCTCTGTGAATTGATTCAAAAAATTCAACAAAATTAAGAATGAATCGAATCGTATTGACAAAACAAACGAATATGATAATGGCGTCGTCTCCTACTAAAAAAAAAAACAAGATAATTCCGCGCGATTATATGAAATGAGTAAAACAATATTTCATACATTGTAATATTTTATACATGTAACAAATTATCTAAAATTAACAATTTATGATTTGAAGAATAGCACTATGTTGCAATTAAAATGGTATTTACTCACCTCGTGGTCGCTCATTGTTATGTACAGATTAGTAACTATTTTGTTTTAAAGTTTTTAACGTCAGAATAAAACCACAATATTCACTGCATACAACAAATTATACTCGATCATTTACAATTAAAACTGCAATCCTGTTTGCAACGCACACTATAGCGATTTCTAGATAGATGCCGGATTTATTAACACAGGTCAAAAAGATAAAGAGTGGGACCTCTTGACGCCTATTTTGTAGTTACAAAAAGTATCCGCTTTCAACACTGGCGCTTCAATCGAATCTATCATAGATTCCATAGATAAAAGAATAGATACCATGTTTATATCTAAAAGTCGGCTAATTTTAGCGTTTACTTCTAGACAATATAATAATTTGGCGTTTACTTTTCAATAATATATTATGGTAAATGATTTTTTTCAATTTTATTTTTTATTTAGTCATTTTAAATAAGTGCGCTAAGGCAGCTGTTAGTTAAAGTATTTGCTCTATGGCGTATCTAACCGTATATATCTCTCTTACCTGTGGCCGTACCTTCCCATAGAATAGACCTTTAGACTCATTTATAAATGTACAATGAGTTAATGAAATAACAAAATATTTAATTCAGTATAAACAAATTTTATATGATGCCTCTGCATATTACGTTGTACGAATTATACACATCTTATGAAAAATGGGTTAGTACTCATCCGCATTTGGTAAATGATGCTGAAACTATAGTAAAATGGCTCTCTTATTTTATTGCGGGAAGAATGAACACTTCAAATGTAGTAACAGAATTGATATATTCTCTATCTAATCTCTTAGTATTGTTCAACGACCGTATAATATATAAATCAAGAAAGATTAATTACAGACCTGATGAAGTTACAAAGTTGAAACTATTGTTGACAACTGTTGAATATTGTGAAGTATTTATTGAATTATCAGTTAAACGTTATTTAGGAGACAAAGCAAAATGGATTGTTATTGCCTTATTACAAATTTATAAATGTCTAGGCAGACTTATTTTATTATATTATTATGATGAAGAAATAATTCAATCTCCTCCTGTACCCCCATTACAACGTCGCAAAGAAATAGAAACAACAGAACAAGTAATATCGGAGCCAACTTTATCATTTACTCTGAAAAGATCAGGACGAATTTTAAGGAAAGTTGACACAGCACCTCCAAAAGAGCTCCGAACATGGAATCCACCACAAAGCACTGAAAAAAGAAATTGCAGGGTTAACAAAGGATCGCTGACTACTGCTGAGACTTTGTATATTATAAAGCCATTGGCACATTTGGTTGCTATGCGTACTTTCGGAACAGAGTCTTGGAAAATGTGGCTTATATCCCTGGGATTTGATATTTCCAGCTTACGTCTCTTTTCCAAAGCCACGACTTCTGAAACTAAAGTAGTATTGACAAAGCAACAAAGAATTGAACTTTCGAGAAGATGTTTAATGTTATTTATGTATTTGATGAGATCTCCATGTTATGATCGATATACAAAAGATGCAGTCATTTCAGTATTAAATGGAATAGGTAACAAAATTCCTTTTGCAAATTCCGTTGTAGTTCCAATATTGCAGTACTTACCACATTGGCAGAAAACATATTTTTATATGTGGTCTGGTTGATTTATTTATGGTCCATTAACAAAATTTTAACAAATCTTTATTATTTCTTTTATACATATAGTCAATTATATATATATATATATATATATATATATATTAACAGAGTCTAGTAATCAGGCATACAATCTATAAAAAACATGAATATCTTTCTTTCAAAAATGTATTTTACATCTATATGTTTCGGCTATAATCCTAGCCTTCATTCAGTCAAAAAATTAGTTAATCTTGGTGTTAAACTAGACTAACTTTTCCACTGAGTGAAGGCTAGGATTATAGCCGAAACATATAGATGTAAAATACATTTTTGAAAGAAATTCATGTTTTTTATTGATTTATGCCTGATTTCTAGACTTTGTTAATACATATGTCAACATCAAATTCAGAATTATACAACATATATATATATATATATATATATATATATATATATATATAGCCAATAATTAAACAAATTTAGTAAAGAAAAAGGTCTTTACTTTTTTTAAATATAATATGTAATTATTAAAAAAAATCTTGTTATATTATTTTGTGTGCACTGAAGATGGGCCAAATCAAGACTAAAATTGTTTGCTACTATAATAAAGACCTTTTTCTTACAAAGTTTGCTACTATATATATATATATATATTTATATATATATATGAGTAAGTTCTTGTGGGGCGATACGTCAAAAAATAAAAAGCAAAGATTTATAAATTAATCTTTAATTCCAAACATTTCTACATTCAATTTAATGTCATCATCAGTGGATATTAACATTGGTAGGTTAGGGCTTTAGTCTAAAGCCTCGGAGCTTGCACATTTCACAAGTCGTGGCAGAAATTACTTAATGTTACTCACATTTTTGTTCAAATAAAACTATCATTTTTCTTTTTACATCTTACAAAAAATGATAAAAATTTATAGTGTGGACAAGTTAGATGCTAATTTCTAGTGTTGTGTACACATCTTAGATGTAACCTACCAACGTTAATATCCACTGATGGTGACTTTAAATTGAATGTAGAAACGTTTGGAATTAAAGATTAATTTATAAATCTGTGCTTTTTATTTTTTGATGTATCGCCCCACAAGAACTTACTCATATATCTCAACATCAAAATTATATACATATATATATATATATATATATATATATATAATATATATATATATACATTACAGGGTGAGTATAAAACTATTTCAATATATATAATATATATATATATATATATATATATTAGGGTGGTCCTTAAAATGGTCATTTTCGAATTTCCTTGCTCCCAGGGGCTCAAATGGTTCCAAATTGATAAAAAACAATTCTCTGAAAGTTTTAGCTCTTAATATTAACGTTTAGATAGAGCGCAATTCAATCAAAGTTTGTATGGAAAGAGCATGAAAAAAATTTTGAAAATTTAAAAAAAATGTGTTTAGTATAACTTAGCAACAAATAAATGAGTTTTATTCATTCATTTATTCGCTAAATTACATCTAAAAAACCTTTTTTAGATTTTTGAAAATTTTTCCATGCTATCTCCATACAAAACTTTGATTGAATTATATATATATATATATATATATATATATATATATATATATATATACACTACTGCATTAAAAGCTGAATGTACAATATTATATTTTTATTTAGAATCCTTGATTTACACTAATATAAACTTAAAGAGAAATTATGCATAAAATTTGTGTCAATTTTGTACACATAAGGAAGTAAAGTTAATCTAATTTGTAATTATTATTGCGGAGTATATAGGTAATCATAGGTTTTAGGGTTTGTTTTCTAGTCAAAATTGACATTTTGTATAATATACACATTCCATTTATAGATTATAATTGTTTGGTTTTATTTTATATGTAAAATATAATTAAATATATTTGATTGTTTTATTTCAGTTTGAAATAAATATTATCACAAATAATTATTTTCATTAATTGGTAGGGTCAACATAATAAAGATGGCAATACTTGAATGTAAGCATTTTTAAAATAAATAAGTATTATTTTAGGCATTTTTTCATATTAATAAATTTGAAGAAGTAAATCATGAGAAATGGATTGTAAAAAATCTGATTGGTTTGGTATGTCTTGTTAAGAAATTTAGTGATGAGTTAAAAATATTTGGCCAAAACAAGACGATTTTTTACTGCTTTATTGCGCACTTAATTTATGCTTATTGTATTATAAATTTTAAAGAGAAATTTCTACCTCTAGGTTGCTTAATAGATTAATAATCATCACTATCTTCATCTTGTGATGCCATAGTTTGCTGTGCTGTGGCTTGTTGTAATGTTTGCCATTGCACTTGATCAGCTAAAGCTTGTTCTTCTCTTGCCCTCGCAAAAAGTTCCTGTTGTTGGCGAAGTAGTTCTTCTTCTGGAATTCCTAAATTTTCAAGTCTAGTGCTCTGCCTGCGCCTTTTTGCTGCTACTGCTTTACAATCTTTCAATACAGCTTCTGCTTCCAATTTGTAATCACTAAAACCTAGTCTATCTAGAGCTGTAAAAAGTAATTCATAATATAACATTACATCATTCATAAAAACAACAATAAATGCATTACCCAGAAGTACATGTTCTGCACTAATAGTTTTCTTATTATGCTGATTACACACATCATTTGCTTCAGAACTAATTAGATGAATAAACTCTGTGCAACAGTTCAATATTAGCTCACGACTTTCGGTTGCAACTCTTACACAAGGCACCTGGAAAAAGTATGTAAACAATAAGAAAGTTTTCAGGAAAAGTCTAAAAAATGTGCAATTAAAAATATCTATAAATAACAATCAACAAACTACAATTATTACAAATGATGGATTATGATACGACAATAATTTGTATGGAATCATCGGGTGATATCGAACGATTTGATATATCGTTAAATTTTATAATTTGTAGCTGTATTATATATTTAAATAGGTTTTATTACGCAAAACATATTATTAACTGCACACAATATTTGAAAAACATTGTAAATGCATCAATCCTGTTTCACACAACGAAAATAATCATGTAGGTAAACTTTTTTTAATTTTCTAGTTCATATACTGCAACTGTTTTGGAATATTGCATACATACTTAAAGTGTTTTATTTAGAATAAAACTTTTGAATATGTTCAAAGACTGTTACGATTGAATTTTATAACACGACTTAAGATCCTTACCAGCTCTTTTATCATTTTATTTATACTTGCTCTAGGCAATGTCAATTCATCATCTTCGTTTGGCGCTGGACATAAATCATCACTAGGATTATCCATTGAATTATCTCTAAATGAAATTAATTAAAGTATATACGTATATTGGTAAGCACATGCAATATTATACCACTGTTGTCTTGAAATTAAAATTTTATTTTACCAACCAACTGTCACAGATGTCAAATACACAAATCTTCATTCAGAACATTAGACCATAGATGAACCTTAGATCATTCACATTCTAGACTTTTGCGTTAAAAGAGCTAGCGAAACATGCGAACACGAGGCGCGCTTAAATTGCATTCAAATTTAATTGTTAATGATCATTGTTTATTTTTTTAATTTAAATTTCGCATTGCAATGCTTTTGTGATTTATAATAACACTATAATAATCTAAGGATAATATAAATAATAATATTTTATTATATTATTTGGCTAAAATATGTGCAATATAATAAATCAAAGCAAAATATAAACAACATCAATAAATTTATATATAAATCACATGTAATCAATCAATAATATCTTTGTAGAGTAATTTATTAAACAAAGTTTTAGAGTAATAAAACTTTGGAATTTGTGTTTAGAAGTGTTTGGATGAGAGCTACAAAAATTCTTGGAAATGAAGTCAATAATGTTTAACTCATAGATAAGTAAACAAGTGGTTTAACTTAAATATTTACTAAACAGCTACTTACTTCTTTTAATATAAACTTATCAGTCATAGATAAGAAACCATCATTATTCACAGATGTTAAGAAAATATTCTCGCTGATGAATTAAACACACATAGACAGAGGATATATCTTCAGTATCTATAAATATCACACCTTCTGATTACCGAAGTACGGAGTTTTTATATCTATATGGCCTATTATACTAGATCAATTTTATAACACCCTACTAAAATTAATATAAAACATAAGTAACATTTTAGTCCGCTGATGTCCCATATTTTATTATATTTTGGCACAAATTATTACAAATGTATAATTTAGTATAAATAATGCAGATTAATGCAGATTGAAGCATTAATGATTATATATATATATATATATATATATATATATATATAATATATATATATATTATATATATATATATATATATATATATTTATTAATCTAAAAGTAAATATTTTAATTTCAAAGAAAGTGTATACAAAAATATATGATTCATGGCTAAATTAAGATTAATCACAAGCTAATAATGCTATGAGTAATTAATTATTGAAAATAACAGATAAAATTTAGATTAAAACTTGTTATTAAGTGCAGAGAAATTCTATACTTGACATACAATCTAATAAATCCATATTCACTCATCACCACAAATCCACAGCCAGCTTGACTAATTATTAGAAATATTTGTTACATCAAAATTAAACTCCCAATAGTATTATCATTACCAAATTACTATAAACTAAACTACCGAATTGGATATATCTTTACAAAATATATGGAAAATATTAGACTAAATTTAGGTTTTGCAATTATTTTTTTTATGTTCATTTTTATACAAGCTGATCTTCACAATTAATGTTCATATAACTATAAATATACATATGAAATGTAAATAATAATTATACATTGCATAGTTTTAAAATTAGATTTTTCAATCTAATTTTGGTCATTATTCATTCTTGTATTTATCTAATTTAAACATTTTGCAATCAGTCCTGTTTGGATCAATAGTTTGATGCTTACATTTTTTTGAGAAAAAAAAAGTTAGAATAATTATGCTTCTATTCTCTGAATGCAGACTGAAATAGGTTGCAAATGTATTTTTTAATTCTTTATTAGATTATCAGAAAGAAAAATGGTACTGATATTCTCTTTGCATGCAAGTTATATTTATGATTAAATCTCTCTTTCATTCCTATTTGAATCTTGACAAATTATTACATTCAACTATACATGTTAACCATGGAACCACTAGTTCCAATTAAATATGATCATATCCTTTTATATATAAAATAAATATATGTATGTACAAAATACACTGTATATATATATATACATATACAAATTCATTCTGAGATAATTACTTCAGTGAAATATATCAATCAACAAACTTTTATAAAATATTATGATTTTTAATGCCCATTACATAAATGATCATCTTTATGATATTACATACCATTTTATTCATAATATATATAGTATATTTAAGTACTTAGTTCCTATATTTTACAATTTGTCTAATAATTTTCTATTAAACTTTACAGACATGACTCCTGGATTTATAAAACATTTCCAAAATAACCTTTAATTAAATGTAAAACAATAAGAACGATCCATGTGTAATTTGTAATATTTGATATCTATACCAGAGATGTGATAAATAAATAATTGTGGATTTATCTTATCATTATTGTTTGTTGATCATTATTAAGTATTGTGTTAACTTTACAATGCGCTCCCAATAAAATAATTATATTTTAAAATAATATGTTCAACATAGGTTCTGTTATAAAGACTAATTTTAATGTTTTAAATAATACATATTCTATTGTTGCAGATTTTTGTTAATAACTATTCCCTATATGTAATAATTAATTACATATATGGATAACTAAAATATATAGAAAATTAATTTAGCAAATATTTAATACAATTTTGTATATCTATAACTTGGCTCATATATCTGATGGCCAATTCAATATTGATCATATCCCTGATATATATTGTATCACTAATGATATACCAAAATAGAACTCGCTGGAATACTCAGTTCTATAGTCGGAAATTAAAATCAAATGACTGAGAAAACAGAATTTGTTTTAAACTGCATGCGATAAACTTTAGTTTATAAAATACTCAACTAATATGTACAATATGTACATATTAAAAATATTAAAATATTCAAATTATCATTTAATATTTATATATTTCATAGTATAGCCTACCTAATATGATAAAGGACTAATACATTTGTTACATGCTAAAATGTTAAAGAAATTTTTGATTTCCTGTTTATGAACAGTAAGTCCATTGTATTTAAATCTTGTGATATTTTTTTTTTAATTAATAATTTCTATCTAATATTTTTTCTGATATAATTTTATCTCTTATCATACAATATTATATAATATTGACTTCTTTCTACCTAATAAAAGCAACATGGATATTTATTTCAGAGAAACATTATATTCAAATTAGTATGAATATTGTTAAGAAACTTACACAACCTCAAATTTCTTCAAATGTTTCATCAAATTTCCTAATTAGATAAAAAGTTCAATGAAATAATGAATAAATATTTATACAAGTGAAGATATGTTTTCAATACACAATTTTAAAATAAGTTATTAAAAAATGCTAAAATATTTAACACTTACATGAAGATAAAGTGATCAGCAATCAGTACTATCATCTGTATACAATTTTCTGCCCAGTTGAATCGTGGGAGTTTGCATCGGTGGTAATGGTGCTTGAGCTTTGGAGAATGACTGTTGTTTGCACACTATAAAAGAAAATTAACATATATGTATATATGTATGATGTATTTCTTGTTTTTTTTTTCAAAATAAAGAATATTAATTTGTAAATATAGAAAAACAATTTTAATTTAAAAATAGATTTTCTGTGCAAATTTATGTTTTAACGTTTTCGTCTAATATAGAGTAGAAATGGTTTTATTATTCATACCAACCTGAATTTATTTGTTGTTTAATATGGTTCTTACTATTATATGTCTTGCGAAGTTCACAAAACTGAATGGGCAAAGGAAAATCTTTTACAGTATGGAACATGTCTGAAAAACGAGTTTCTAGATCCAATATAACAGCAGACATATTTCCGTTACTACCATTGCAGTTTCTCATTGAACTATTGCGAACTGGTGGTACTGGAGCAGCATTGTTCTGATTAAAATAGAAATTTATAGTTTTCAAGCATTATAATATAATAGATTCGGTAGATAAGTTGTTCAGTATATATTCATTTTAGATTACTAGCATAGATAAAAAATAAATCCAATATGAAAGTGTTATTACACAGTTGTTGATATTAATACATTATTTCATTTGTCGGATAGATAAATTTGACTTGGACATCTTCATATAATTGTTCCAAAATATAAATTTTGGACAAATTTTGAATAAGTTTCTTACATTACTTCTCGAATTTAAAAAATATTTATTTTATTTCTGTAAGACTATGTTTTATATTATCTCACCGTAGTAATGGTTCTCGAAGCTACTGCAGCTGCTGGAGGTTGGGGCGCAGGTTGCGTGCGATGCGGAGGTGGTGGCGGTGGAACGCCCATTGGCGTATTATTTACTCCCGAGGTTAAATTGATCATTGGCTTGCCAGGGCTCGAATTTTGCACATTTTGTTGAACCGCAACTGACTGTTTGCTCGGTAGAGCGGGCTTAATCTGCTGTTGTTGATTGTTATTGTTATTGCCGTTATTTGCGACGTTACTACTTGTCGAACGATTTGGTGGTGGCGGCGGCCGATTTGCTGGGGGCCTTATTGGTGGAGGTACGCTTGGACGGCCTATAATTTACATTGAATTTCAAAACATCGTAGTTTAAATTATTAACGTTAAAAATCTGGACGATTTTAAGTAATATAATTTAATTTTAATTTTAACGTAAAAAAACGATTTTATAGAACGTTTAGCGATAAATGGGCAAAAAGAAAACGCAGATACAAACATTAACTAATAATCATGGTTGCCGACTTACCTGATTGCGGAATTGGTGGCGCTGGTTTCATTTTGATTGAGTCCTGAGACTGATGAAATCCTGCGGGCAAACCACGCAGGGTTCCAAAAGGTGTCAATCCCGGAGGCGTCACTGGCGGAGTTCTATTTATGAGACAATGAAAAAAAAATATATACAATTACCATTGGTTAATTTGTTAGAAATTGACACATATTGTACATATGTATTTGTATATCAGCATATTCTTGCATGCTTGAAATAGTTACGACGTTTGTTAATTAGATGCCATTAGACCACATCTACATACTTATATGTACACACATATACATATATATATATATATATATTATATATTATCTATATGTATATGTACAGTTACCATGTAAAAGTAACGTGTGTTTTTGTATTGAAAATAAAAAAATCAATGATAAAGTATTAATGCGCAGAACAAAGCAAAAAATAAAATATACAAAAGAAGAAATAAAGTAGATACAAAAAAAACAATCTCATGCACAGGTGTAGGAATACGGTAATAAATGATTGTAGCATATCAGGGCTCTAAATTACGAAAGAGCATTAAAATTATAGCAACAAAATTTATTTAAAAATGCGTTTTAATTTTCAATTTTTATGTGTCTAATAAAACTCGTAAATAATAAGTTTAAAAAAAATAGTTGTACCTGGGAGACTTCATGCTGTGTGCCCTCATAACACTAGGTTTACCAGTCGTGTTTAAAGATGGAGGTTTAGGTGCAAGATTTGGTTTCCGTGATTTATAGTAGTTTTTGATTCGACAAGCTTTGTAAGCTTGCGCTACCATCTGCGGTAGATAACTTAGTATTGTGATTCAATGAACTTAAACTTGCATGTAAATTAGATTTATTAGCAAACAATGTAGACTGATTCGGCATATGAGCGTTATTTGACTCAAATTCGTCACAGAATTGGTTTTTGTATTTTTCATTAGTGTTGAACTATTATAGTTCAATTTGATGACAAGTTTGCCATGGATCCTGCATTCGAAGGTTTGTTGGAGAAAATCCAGCAATAGTTGAATCCGAAGCACTCTGTTATAAATTTCAATTGATATTATAACCAAAATAATAAAGTTCATTAAATACAAACATTAATTTTCACAAACTCACGAGTGGCATTTGCGTTTTTTGTACAGGAGGTTGCGGAGGCGGGCCACGCTTTACTTCGGTATTTGGTGCTTTAACAAAGCCTTCAACATTTGACTTTGTTTTTGTGTGAAGTGAAGAATTATTATTCACAGCTTTGGCACCTAATGATGGGCTAGTTTTTCCATTACTGCTGGCTTGCAGCTTTGATCCGTCTCTTTGTTCTGCATCGAAACTACAAAAACAAATAAGATCGATAAATGCAATATAGATTTATACACAAGCATAAACATGAAAACTAACCAGAATATTATTAAGAAATAGAATTAAAATATGATTATTACCGATTTTATTATGACTTAAGCGATTGACTTTCTGTGTGAAACTGAATATACGCGACGTACAACCAAAAAGAAGACGAGCTTTAAATATTTAAATTAAATAACTTAAAATAATAATTACAAAATATTATTAGGCATAATCATGCGATCGTTTATTTGATTTTAGCATTCTCATTCAAGCTCTGCCATTATGAATAGTTCTGAGATTACTAAAAGCTGAGACAAACAAATGTAGTAAGCATATATTTATTATATACTAGTATAAGATTAAATTTCTCTGTGATAATATTGATATTATTTATGTGAAACTATTTGTGATTGTGCTATTGAATTCTACAACAAACGATAAGAATTCTATAACAATTTAATTGAGCATATATGAGAAATTAATAAAATAAATATATATATATATATATATATATATATATATATATTGATTGTTTCTTTTCCGAACAGTAGATCCAATAAAAAACAATTTGTTTTTTTTTTTTATAGATGTTTAATAACGACGTTTCGGAACTAAGTACGTTCCATCACACTGTTGTTTTAGTCTTGTGAGGTCGTAACATCTACAAATATCCTCAAAAAAATTGAGTGTTTTTAACAAAAAATATTAGTGATATGGATATATAAATTATTACAGAATAAACCTGATGATGGAACGTACCTAGTTCCGAAACGTCGTTATTAAACATCTTTTTTAAAAAAAAAAAAATTGTTTTTTATTATTGGATTTACTGTTCGGAAAAGAAACAATCAATATATTGAAAAAATCCAGGACTTATCTATTTAATATAGTATATATATATATATATATATATATATATATATATAGCAGAAAAATTACAGCTGATTTTCAACAATTGTCCAGCGCTTGGATCGCTGGGTGAGGGTCTATCAAATTGCCCAATTAGCGAAATTTTACTTTATTTAAAATATACCTTTTTTCTCCATTTTTTTAATTTTTTTAACTTTCACAAAAAAATCCAATTTCACGTTTCAGAATGAATCACTTGAGACCAAAATTAAAAAAAAGTTATGGCGTTTTCTCAAAACAATTTCAAACATTTAAAACCATTCGATATAATTCGATAAGGACTCGCATGATTAGTTTTGCGAGACGATCGGCCAAACCGTTTCTTTAGACTTAGCAGAAAAGTGCAAAAGTTTTCATCCACATTTTTGCGAAACTTCCAAAACGATTTTGAGAATTTAAAAACCGGGTCGGACCGTTTCTTATAACTAAACGTTATTTTTTCTTTGTTGTGATTTTAATTTAACATGGTGATAAAGTTCATAATCTAAATGACATCCTAAAAATTAGAGGCCTATTAAAAGTAGTTGATTTATAGAAATTCATTTTAGTTTGGAATAATGGACTAAGCCTAGAACATACAAACGTATTTATTTACCATAGTTAATAAAATTACGGATATAGAAGTAGGATATGTATTCGAAAACACATTAAAGAAATTTAGTGAAAACAAAAACTCTATTTTCGAACAACTAAACAGAGTATCTAATTACACGTATCAGGAAGTTCATGAAACTTCTCATTACTATATACTTCGACGTTTTATAAAGGATATCTTGAATGATTAAAATTAGAGAAGTTAAAATAAACACTCACCAAAATAACTAATATATTCTATAAAAATATAATTGATATTACTTGAGTAATAGATGTATGATTCATGTATATTGGAAGGACTCAAAAAATATATATACAACATACCATGCAATTATGCATACTTTTTACCCACCTATATATTGCTAAATTTTCATACCTTTATTTCGACTTCCCACGGGCTTCAACTTTGGTATACCATTAGCAAAAATACCTGCCAATGGCTGGCCATTTGCACCTAGACTAACAGATGAGTTGCTAGTTGAACTGGCATTCTGTATTTTAGTAATTCAACCAGGTGTGCTGGATGGGTGTGCTACTCACAACCTTACCTAAAATGGGTATTTTGAAAATGTTATATTGTTTATTACATATCAACTTATAAACAATAATTTACTTGTGGATAGCGAAAAACCGTAAGTTTATTTAGTATTTTTATATATTACAAGGATATATATATATGGATATTGTACCCAAACTTGTAAATTTTATCACTATACTCTTTATTTAACGACATTATGAACTTAGTACAATGAAATGGGGTTAGAAAAGCAAATAGAAAAGTAAAAATTGTAAATAATAGAAAGTTTATCTATGAATCAACAAAATATTTTAAATAATAAATGCTCTGTTTAAAATACACATTGAACATAAAATATAAACAAAATAGAGACAAATTTGCAAAGCTTGTTCACAGTAGTCTACTCAGATATAGAGCACAAGACCAAACATAAGTAGGAGTATATCAAATTATCACCAACACTGGAGCACTTTTATCAACGGTCACTGTTTTTTTGAGCTTGGCTCCTTTGCGTATAGAATCCAGTAGTAAATCACGACCATCGGCTGGAGGGTTGGATTTGAAATTATTTTTCCTAGCATCCCCCAGTGAAAACCCCACAGGGGGAGGAGGTGGTGGCATTGGCATTTTTTGGTATATCTGAAAAAAAAAATAATTTACTTATGTTTGTAAGACAATTTATAGTTAAGTAGTATTAGAAAAAGTAAAATAATTACCGAAAAGTTAAATAATATACTATTATATAAAACTTAACAAAATCTTAAAATTTAAGACTATTGTAATCATTTTAGATAAAGATAAATTATATTAATGACTTTCACTGTTTTTTCAAATTTTTATGTAAAATCTCCTGGTTTATTTATTATATTTATTTTTTTAAGACAATTGGCTTTATAAATAAGCATTTGAAAAACTTTAGTTCATAGTGGATAGCAAGTAATACAATGCTAATAATCAATAACATTTAAGTAAACATTAGTATAATGGCCTATATTTTGTGTATACTTTAAAACAATCAAAAATGGAATTTTATGTTTCATATTTTAACAAATATTTTTATATATTTTTTACAAAAAATAGTTATATTTTTATCATTTAACACAATATTTTCATAATCAAATTTGATTTCATTATTGTAAATTAACTCATGACCAATAAAAAAATAGACATTTTGAAAATTAGTGATGAAAACTTAAAACTATTATATAAAATAGTATAATTCAAGTAAATAATTTAAATATTTTATATTTAAGAAAGTTTTATATATAATTTGATAAGTTAATAGAAATATAGTTTTAAAAAATAAAAATCTTACCTTTCAATTACAAATAATACATTGCAATAGCTTATCATCGAATTATAGTATTGTTATCTTATTATGCTGGAAACAAAATATCATATTCTTTCAAATTCGATTATCGTGTAATTCCATACGTGCAAACAGAGGAGTGTTCATCTTATTCACAAACGTCATTCGAAAAATTATCAGCAATAATTTATTCTAGTTGGCATCACTAGTGAAAAGTTCCTTTAATATCACTTACACAGTAACTTTTTTTAACAAGTCCATTATTTTAGTGTTTGTGCACAGAACAGGACAACAAAAACAAATATTTTCGCTTCTTAAAACGTTCGAGGTTAAATCCATGGTAAATCTGACACAAGCATGTTCAAATCGACACAATATTTGGAATCATGGATTATGTATACATTCCGGATATGTTTTTAGTTACAAAAATGAATTACCAAAAATTAATATTTTATGGTATTCTTGATCACCCTGAAGCGAGAAGTTGTCACGAAATTACATTATGAGAGTGAAAATAGCCAAATACTCTATTTTCAATATTTAAAATATTATATGATTTCGAATATTAACGATTTAAATGAAAAAGCTACAATATATTGCAAGTACAGTATACTTCAATTATATTTTTACAGTTATAAAATATTTTCAAAAAGCCTAATGAAGTACGTGTGAAAAAATATCATATTATTCATTTCTAGCCACAAAACATAAGTATACTGAAAAAAATCACGTACACTTATTAAGTATTCAATATTTCCTTAACATGATGCAGGTAACAGTCCTTGCATTTTGGGTCCAGGTTGCTATACCCGTCTAATCAGCCAAATAAGATTACGAATGTATAAACATTTTTATTGTTACAAACCATAATTTCATTCTATTTGGCACAAAAACCATCCAACATCTAAACCAGCAACTATATAATTTAATCGTTTTAGTATTATTATGAAAATTAATTATTTTAAATTACCGCTTTTTCTAAAAATCATTAAAAACTTGAAATCTTTTTTGCGTTTCAATGAAAAAGTTTTACATAATCAAGTCCATAATTATTAAAAAGAGGTTGTCTCCAGTAGTATCATACTGTACGACATACGCAAAGTCTGTGCGTTTCACATTTTTTAACATACATTTTTGATAATATGTTCATTCATTAAAGGGACACAATTCGAATTATTTTATTACTAACTTTTTCAATTTTATATAATATTC